GAAGATGCGCGCATCCGTATTGAACCGCTCGGTAATGTACTGTCTATCCTCGATCTTGGTAGCACCATCCAAGCGAAGGTACAGGTAGCCATGAAAGTTTAAGAAAATCTCCAGGATGTCCAGGATGCGCGTCATCTGCGTGAAGATCAACACGCGATGTCCGCCTGCTTTGCGCTCTCTGAGCAGATCCGCCAGCTTTTGCAGTTTTCCGCAGTCGTACTGAAGAAGGGAAGTGTCGGGGAACGCAACTTGCAGCTTAACGCTGCTGCGATGTAGGGGAGCATCGAAGGCAGGGTCGTATGCCTTCTCCATGAGGGGTTCTTCTAAGCCACGGAAAATAATAGAGCGGAGATCAGAGGCGACGACAGAAGGGGTCACGAACGCAAACCGGTCGATTACGCCAGCCATATCTTCAGCCCGGGTTGCATACGACTTGATAGCAGCATGTACGCGGTCCACCCGGGATAAATAGTCGTAACGCGTGTCCACCGTGGACAGTGGATAAAGAGGTTGTACCGCCGATTTCGACAAGAGGACCTCCTCTTCGCTGATAGTTGGCTCACGAACACACCGCCAATGATTGATATACGCGATGTGTGCCCACTTCTTGATGGTATCTGAATCCTGACACCAAGCCCTGTACTTGCGGTATCCTGCGATGGTCCGCGTGTCTTGGGGTGGGCCGATTCCTAGTTGCTCACCAAAATGAGGAAGGAGATGGGTCGCGTTCAGACGACGGGTCTCTGTGGCGGTAGCACGGCACAGAGGTCCCTTTTCCAAGAACCGAAGCCCAAGCATATCAAGGTTCACAGACTCTTCGTCCACGGAGAGGACTAACTTCCGCCGGATGAGTAACTCCTTGATTTCGTAGTCGGCGACCACAGAACGCGGCATGGGGAAGGATGTTCGAATCGGCCTGATCTCGAACAAATCCGGGTGGTTGACGACCTTCCTAAGCTGCATGAGAATATTCGCGATCTTCTGGTAGACTCCAGATTGAAGATCATGCCTCGTTTCAGCACGAGCCATGAACTCGTCGTACAGGAACCGTTGCCGTTTCGAGAGCGGACACATCACCAGATGCTCGAACTTGCTAGGCAAGTCCTTCTCGACGTCACGTTTGAGTCGACGGAGAAGGTAAGGACGGAGGACCATGTGGAGTTTGGCAACGCGCTGTTGATTCTCGTCATCCAGAGCGGTACCCATCTCGATGGCCTTTTCCAATGGGTCTACAAGGCGGGGCATAAGTACGAATACCTTCGTTGAAGTCTGAAGGGCTAATCTCACTAGAAAACCATTCGCCGAACTCCTTGAGACCAGCGAAGTTTGTGCCAGAGAGCAGAAATTGCAATAGTGACCACAACTCCGTCAGATTGTTCTGCAACGGCGTTCCCGTCAACAGCAGCCTTCTGTGAGACCGAAACATCAGCAAGGTACTCCACCGATCGGATTTGAAGTTCTTGATCATATGCGCCTCGTCAAGTATAAGGTAGTACCATGGCTTGCGTTTGAACGCGTTTTGGTCCTGGATGGCCAGCTGGTAGGATGTGATGCAGACGTTAAAACGATATTTGTCCAACCATCCCTGGCGGAGTTTGGCACGCTGCCTGGGCAGACCGTGGTAACTGAGGACTTTAAATCCCGGCAAAAATTTCTTGAACTCCATTTCCCAGTTCAAGAGAACACTGGTCGGTACGATGATCAAGTGTGGACCCCAGATACCACGATCACAGGCAAGATGAGCAAGAAGCGATATCGTTTGAATCGTTTTCCTGATATCACTGGGTAAGTGAGAGAAACACACGAGAGGAATGAACCGCATACCCAAGGCCCATCTCGTCTGCTAGAATTCCATTCATGTGCCCAGAGTGTAGACTAGCCAGCCATTCCAATCCAGCCTGCTGATACGGCCGCAGTGTTCCCCTGAGGAGACGGGGAGGCTTAACCTTCGCTTGCGGGTCCCACTCGACCGGGGCAACAGCATACCGGTGCAGGTACGAAGGGATGGATACATCAATATCATCTGGATTCACCTCTTCCTCTTCCTCCCCCTCTTCCTCCTCCTCTCCTTCCAATGTTGGAACTTCTGGTGGGGCTTCCAAGCTCTGCATTACTGACCGAATTTCTTCCTCCGCTTGTTTCTGTCGGTCGGCGGAGCTGATAGGTTTTTCCACAGGGGCGTCTTGTGGGGACACTTTTGAGGACACGAGAGGGACAGCTGCAGTGTTGCCATTGGGAAGTAAGGGAACAGTAGGGGCTGGAGAGGTAGAAGACTCGTGTGGACCATGTCCATTGATAGTGACGCTGATAGGCTCCTTCATGAGTGGAAGATGGGAAGATCGTGGGACGGGTGAGACACTGCCAAAGCGACGGCCATGATGGTTGGGGTCCTCTACGATCATAGGTAACGGGTGTCCGTCGTTAATGGCAGTTGGGGTTTGGGGCTCCTCGTCGGGGGAGCTGGCAAAGTGAGCAACAGCATAGTATCCTGACTTCGTTGGCGCTATTTCATCCTCTTCGTCGATATCTGGGGCAGGTGCCGGTGATTCATTGTGATTACCCAGACCGCTTTCTGCAGAATGTGACCGCTCGAGACTCCGAGATTCGCCGAGCAAGAAGCCCGTGTCCAGGTCTTCATCATCGCTGTCTACACCTTCGCTCTCGTCGTCACTGTCAGGTCCGTCTTCTTGATCTGACACTACAGAGTGGACGCTACTTGAACGACTTGAATGGGGATGATCAGCGGCAACGGTCAAGTTCGCAATCGCGACTTGCAAAGCCCGGCTTGATTGGACGATGAAGGCGTTGAATTGTTCCTTTTCGCGCTGTTCCGCCTCCTTCTTCCGCCGTGCCTCCTCTTGGGCGCGAACCGTCTGATCGATACATAGCAGAGTTGAGCTTGCAGTAAATGACAGTGGCCACATTTACTCACCAAAACGGCCAACTTCCAATGTTCCATCACAAGGTCAGCTGTAACCTTGGCCAACTTACGCAGTCTGAACTCCTCCAGCGGTCTTGCCTTGGGTGGGCCTCCAATTCCGACAAGGCCTCTCTCCTCCCAATGTCGCAAAACCTTGCTCGCCACTTGGTTTGCCCCTGCTACACGGTCAACCAGTCGCGCCGTTCCCTTGCGCACATCTGCCAACACCTCATCCCATAAACCCTTCACTCTTTGGGGTTCAATAGTCGGACCAGACACATATTTCCCCGTTGTCGGGTCGATACTGTCAAGGAATGGAAGAAAATGCAATCTGCCTTGACGCCGGAATTCCCTGACTTGTGACCAGAACTTGGAAGTTTGGGACACTATCTCGTCCAATTGTTCGGGCGTAGCATCATCGTCCTGACCCGAGAGCGAGGTGAATGAGGTCAAGACAGAAGTTAAGGAACCTCCATACTTGGTAGGTCCTGGCCGTTGGCCTGGTGTCGAAAAAATGGGCTGAGGTGGTCGGACAATCAAGGTAACTCGTCGAACTAGAGATTTCGAAGGGGATACGGACGGTAAATCATCCAGGTCTGCAAGTGTATCCGTATTACGGAGGGAACGTTTGGGTAGGGCGGAGATGGATTCTGGAATGGGAATGGTATCTTCGCGTTCGAGTCTCCGTCTCTTACGGGGTGAAGGCGTGTCCTGGCCGCTCTCTAATCGAGTGGAGATTTTCAGATCAGGGGGTCGTTTGCGCAAGCGAGACTTTTGTGAGGGGTGGTCATGATCGTCGGCCGCGGTATCCTTCGGAAGAGACACAGCCTGTGACTTCGCGCCGCGTTTCCCACCAGCAGAGGATGCCAAGTTTGAAGGGGGTGTTGCATCTGGCTTCCCTTTACCTTTGGACATGAGCTTGATATCAGAGATACTGGTCCACGCCGCGTTCTTCTTCGCCACTGGGTCATCGAGTTTCTTCTGCTTCTTTAATGTACGGGGAAGGGCAGAAGAACTGGAGATAGGGTGGGAAAGTAATGCATCCAGTCTTGTATTTTGTGCCCTCCGTGTACTACGTGATGGTCCTGCGGATAGTTGGGCGAAGAGGTCGTACCCAGACTTAAACTATGAAGTTTCTGTAAGAATTGAACCGATGACACTGCACCGGACGTGCTCACCTGCTGGAATACATCTGAGTTATCATCTTTCGCGTCCTGAAGGAAGTTCGTATGATCAGCGGGGAATGAGAACTTATTTGGCCATAGCCACACACCTTATAGTTAAAGGACAGCAAGTTTCCGAACTTCTCCAAGTGAAATTTCTCCCGCACCTACATGGCTTGTCACACCCCGCACACCCCCAAAGCAACTACAAGAACGCACCAGGTCGTCATGTCCGTCCACTATCTGTTCCACAGCAGCCCGCCTCTCCAGCACTAAACTCTCCCGCCTCTGCCTCACCAGCTCCTGTTTCTGCTCCTCCAACAACTCTGCCACACTCTGTGAGCGGCCCTTCCCCTTTGCGCGTGCCGCTTCCGACGTGTATACCGAGCGACTTCGTGTGCTCATCCTGCCAGTCCGCGGCCACGCATAAGTTTAAGTAGGCGCGTGGGATCCCAGGGGCCGACGTGGATGATCTCTGCAGATCCGGGACGGTCTGACGAGATTCTTGAACCAGAATGTAGAGCTGAGTGTCGCGATGCTGAGTCGCGGTAGAATTGAACGAGAGGGCCCGCGTTTGGACGGTGGGAGGCGGAGAGGAGGAAAAGGATCCATGTTGCAAGTTCCAGGTTAATGTTTGTCCCAAACAAACAGCATCATCCCGCTTTCAGACACTCTTGATTGGCCTCAAATCGGCCTTTGGACGAGGTTGGCCACACGAGCAGCGCGTGGGTTATCGAGAATGTACCTTCAAGCATCTAAGCAAACTGCCTGCGGCGCTGAAGTATCTGCACCGTATTATGGCACTGCTTCGCCACAAAAATGCTTCCAAGCGTTGTAAACTTATCCGGACTCTCCTCCCGGTCCTCTACACTCTTCTGAATTACTCGGGGGTGGGAGAACCTAAAAGCAAAAAGGAATTCCCTCTAGCCGACTCGAACGACTGACCTCGTCATATGTATTACGTAATTAATCTCACGTGACATACTAGTGACGCGCTCTACCAACTGAGCTAAGCGGGAATTGAAATGATATGTCATGTACAAAGTTATCACTGCTACTACAGAGTTATTACTGTGTAGTAGGCTGGCCAATCCTCGCCGCTTTCAAGTTGGCACTCAAGTTGAAGTTGCTCGTTCAAGTTGGTGGGTTGAACCTGACCGTCACCCTGCCCCGAGTCAAGAGTTAAGGTAGTCAAGAACGACTACAAAATATAGAAATCCGTCAGCCTTCTACCCCGCATCATTCTCTTAGTTTACTAACGAGAATTATTTCCTGCACCGCTCTGAAGAACGGTCTCCGAAGACATGGCCTCTGCATCAGATCTTCAATTCGGAGGGTTGGACTTGGGTTGGACTTCCCCGTCACGTACCTTGTCATGGGCGAGCCTCTACCCCGAAATCCTCGCCGCAATCTTCCAACTCATAAACAACACATCCTGGTATTGTGACAAGGGTTATGAAGTCTACAGCATTTGGCCGAGGGAGCGCCGTAATCTCAGTCACGTCTGCTCCTACTGGTACCAGGTGGTTCATAGTACTCCAATGCTCTGGCGAAAAATCATGGTATCCCTCCCTAATCACGGTGAATACCAACAATTCTTGTGGGAGCTTCAGCGCACGGGACGCGCACCACTCCATCTTATCATTTTCTTAGGCTGCAACGATGGTCATGATCTGTTGGAATTCCTTGACTCGGAATTACCTAGGATCGAGAGACTCTCCATTGAGGCCGAATTCAGTGCTCCTCCGGTCCTCCCAAGGTGTGCCACGCCCGACGCCCCGATTCTTCGCCACCTGGGGATCTCCGTCAATCGCAAACCGTCCTTGCTGTTAGAAAGCCATGAATTCCCAGGGCCATTCGACCCGCGGGCCCTCCTTCCTCCAACACTTCCATTAAGCAATCTGAAGTCTGTCAGATTTGACAATTGCTCATATACATCCATCGCAGCCTACTTCCGCTCAACCATGAAACAGCTTCATCTAAGCAATATATCTACCGCATCCCACGCCCAACTCCTCTGCGCTCTGCGAGAGATGCCACGGATGGAGCACCTCACTCTCGATTCCATCACCTTCGAGGCCGACGGACAGACACCTCCGGAAATTGTCACTTTGCCTCATCTTCGCGTACTTGACCTACTTGCTGGGTCGGACGAGCCATCATATAACGCCGCGATCCTAAAAACCATCCACTTTCCTTCTTCTGCCACTATAAGCATAACAAAAACAACATACCGTGGCTCGCAACAACGTCTGGGGAGTATCGACACGGTAGAATCTGTTCTCATGGGTAAGATCGCCGGAAACGGAGTCCTGGCATCGCTGCCGGTCCACACGATGTCGATCTCCTCTCAACCAGTTTATATGGATCGACATTGGACAGTTCTTCGGCTGTGGCATTCCCTGGATGACCCACGGCGCCTTCTTCGCGACCCCAGGCAGTCAAGCTACCTTCCTAGCGTTTTCTGCACCTATCGGGCTTTCGATACTGCCCCTCGCAATCTCGCCGTCATGTGTGAGCTCAGTCCACCACACACGTTCGCCTCTCTCCGGAACCTACACATAGCAATGTTGCCTTACGATTTGTACCACGACGAGGACAACAGCGTCACCGCCAACTCGCGGTTCGCCCGCCGTTTCTGGGATGAGTCCTTTCGGTGTCTGACGGGGATACAGGAACTTACCGTCGAACGAGTCTTGCTGGACGGTCTCGCAGAACCTGTCGTACCAAGTCTATACCTCGAAATCTGCGCCAGGGAATGGCGCAGTAATCTAACTGATGCTGTTCGCTGCGCTGGTTATCAGTCCGCACGTGCGCGAGCCATCGATGCCAGGACGCGACTGGGACCTGCACCTGCAACTCTCAACAACCACGGAGCCTTCGTGCTCCCCCGTTTACAAACCCTCTGCATAAAGGACACCACTTTGGACGCGCTCGACGTGGATAATCTCCAGGATATGCTGACAGTGCGAAGGGAAGGAGGGGTCGGCCTGCTCACCCTTATATTCAGCTCCAGACCCAGCGAGGACCGTCAAGACATCCTACGGGGTTGCGTAGACGTGTTGACGTTTATAGGAGAGGACCAACCGGTCCGGGAGTGAGGCAGGAGCGCAAAGGTGAAGAGGAAGAGGATCATCTCCCGCCTCACTATCACCCCTAAACATCAGGCCAGTGTCGTCCTCGAAATTAGCTCGCCAAACGCCAAACATAAAATGCAGAATGGTATCCAATCCCTTGCGAGCAAACCCCAAATACAACAAACCAGTATTACAAACGATAATGCTCTACAAAAAAAAGGTACACCCCACCATCCACCCATCCTTCCACCGCATACAAAAAGAACAGAACAACAACAACAATCGTCAGTCAAACGAGGGAGGAAATGGACATAGAGTTCGTGAGTTGGGAAGCGTGGGATATTGAAAAATTGGATGTGCGTGCAAAGAGTGAAATGAGGATGTGTCGTGCGGGTTGGGGATGGCGATGCGGTAGAGGTTGAATCAAAGATGAAGTGAAAGTGTTGGTGCTGAGAATACAGGGGGTGTGTCATGAGCTGGTGGTATTGGTATATTCAAAATCGGGGAATTGATCGCCGTACGGGTCCTCTGTGACGAGTCCGTACGCAGCCGCCGCGTTGTCTTCTGGGTATCTTTCGAATCTGCGGTAGAGTCTTTCTATCAGACACAGCAGCTCAAGGAAACAGGAAACGGCAACACAAGTACGTACGCGCTTGCATCTCCGTCTCCGCTAATCCTAGGCAAGTAAGGTGCGGTGATCTCTCTATTCTTCAGTTTTTCCCAATCTACTTCCCGGAACCACGGGTGTGCGAACACGTCGCCAGCGCCGTGCTGCAGGTTCCCGTACCGCCGCGACGGATCCCGCTCCATGAACTTCAAGATCAGGTCTGTGGCGTTCACATGGAAAGCCGGCCACCTGATGCATGTGGGTCCTTGCGCGATCTTCTCGTACAGAACGACGGGCGAGATATCTGGTTCGTGGAACGGTGGCAGACCGGCCAGCATCTCAAAGATGAGAACGCCCAGCGCGTACCAGTCTACACTTTTGTTGTATCGCGCATTACCAATGATCTGCGCAATTAAATCAGTAACGAGACAGGCATAACGGCAGTGGACTCACTTCTGGCGCGAGATAGTCTGGGGTGCCGCACAGGGTCCAGACGGTGGTATTGCAGTACTTTGCGAAGCCAAAGTCGGCAATTTTGATGTGGCCGTCGAAGTTGAGGAGGATGTTTTCGGGCTTGAGGTCGCGGTAGATGATGTCCATGTTGTGGAGGTAGTTGAGCGCGAGTGCGACCTCTGCGGCGTAGAATTTGGCAACTGGGTCGGGGAACCGCTGGAGCAAACAAGTTAGAGCACGGATCTGCACGGTCGGCGCGCGGACGGCGTGGAGTGCCGGGAGAGAAAGATCATATGTCCCGAAATGGAGAAGATGGCCGAAAGCGGGTGATATTGCGAGGGTTCTGAGAAGCGGCCGGGCAGCCACGCCGCTTCGAACAGAAGGCCATTAAACAGGGGCAGTGCCAATATCTCCCGTTTCTGCATCGACGCGTCCCACCCCCCGGCGCGTGCAGGGCCATGTGGGCCGCTCGTCGTCCCCAACAGCGTCCACAACTCGCGGCACGGCGGGCGCACGGTCCCACGCGCATACAACAGAGACACTCACATTCGATCGTCGCAGCAGCGTGAACAGCTCGCCCCCGGGCACAAAGTCCATCACCATGTACAGGTTCGACGAGTCCTGGAACGTCCCCCAGAGGTTCACGATGAACGGGTGCTGCACGGACTGCAGCATCGCCTGCTCGTTGCGTGTGTGCGACACCTGCTTCGTCCGGACAATCTTCTCCTTGCTGAGGACCTTGATGGCGTAGAAGCGGCGGTTGTGTATACTCCGCACTGCCGCCATTCTTTAATGAACCCCCAAGGCACACCGAAGCAAGCAGCACAGGCACTCACCCAAGTGGACCCTCCCAAAGCTGCCCGTCCCCAACGTCCGGTGTATGACGAAATCGGTGAGGCGGTATGTGCCCTTTGGCCGGCGCATCTGCGGAGGAATCTGCGGCACCTGGATGTCCATTGCGCTGACGGAGGTGCGCTGGGTGGATATGGAGCCGCGCTGCTCGACCGAGAGGGTCCCGGAGGGCACTGAAGATGCAGCAGAGGGGGAGGAGGAGGGGGACTGTTCAGAGGGGGGCACGACGGAGGGCCGACTTGATCTGAGGTGACCGAGCTTGTCTGCCATCTTCCTCAAGAGCATCCGGGGTGTGGAGGGTCGTTGTCGGGTGTTGCAGCCAGCGTGTCCGCTAGAGAGGACCAGGCAGACTTGTGAGGATAAAAGAGAGCATCGTTCGTCCGTGACAGCACTCGCTCGGCACCAACCGATCTCCTCCTCTTCATAATTCCCCTTTTCGGCGGGCGCTTACAATCTTGTTCTTCATCCCGACAATGCAGCTGGCAACCGCGAGAACAGCACAGTCGATACCTTGTTCCACACTAGTACCCGATGTCGCATTTACTCCTTCACATTTACAATGCTTCCCCATTCATCCATCCTCCACCTCCTTATCAATGCCTGATCTCGAACCCGCTGAATTCAAGTTCGGTCACCGTCTCCTCCACCAGAACCTCCACACCGGTCACATCAGCGAATATCGGGCCAGACCCTATGAGTTTGCGGCTACGCAGCATGGCATAGTTGGCATAATAAATACAGTGGTCAGCCAAATACGCAGATGGTTGCGTCGTAACCTATACCTGGAGAACACACTTACAACCGCGCCATCGCATCCTCCTTGCCTTGCGCCACACCCACCACCGTCCCTTTCTAACCCATCCATAAGCGAATCGCCGCAAAAGAGACTGCAATCGCGGACGACACTCACCGGGTCATTCTTCACCCACCCGACTACCCCATCTCTGTCTGCGACCGCCTTCACGAACTGTCGGAACCCGACTCCGTGAACGGTCCCAGAAACTATGTAGTGCAGAGAGCGATAACTCAT